ACAGTGGTTCAGCTCTGGTTGGGAGTTTCTTGGCACGAGAAACACTCTTGGGTGCGTGGTCCCTTGGGGAAGCTGTGGCTCTTTGGTCTTCACCAACAAGCTCATGCTGGTTATGTTTGTCTTGGGTATACCAGGAGGCAATAGCAAGTATGTGTCTTGATCTGGTGGCCATGGGAGAATCTGGAGGTGGTGGTTTAGGCTGGTGGGGTGCATAACAAAAGGGGAAAAAGCACCGAAGATCAGGTGTCAGGCAGTTCCTCTGTTTCCCAAGGAGTCTGGGTGAGTGATGGGACTTGGTCCACTGCACAGGGAACCCGGGATTTCTGGCAGGATCCAGGAATTTCTTCGTTAAAGGAGTTACAGCGTTTGTGTAATTTGGGGATTAACCTCCCCGTGTCTACCCTGACTTCTTCATATGATGACCTCCTGGTACCTTCAGCAAAGGGGAAAAAACTTATGGGAAGTCACAGTGGACCAAGGTGATGAACTACTGCTTATGGAGGGATATTTAAAACAAATGATGCCCCAACGGGATGGAAAAAGGGGCTACTCAGTCAACGGTGCCTTGGTGCCAAAGAAGTTGGCACCTTCATGAGGATGCTCAAAGGAGTGGTGAGCAGTTCCTTACCTCTGCAGATGGAAGCAAGGCACGGTGAGGTGACAACTGAGGAGATTTGGGCATGGATAGATATTTCACCCTGGCTTTTGGTCAACATAAAGACAGAGGCAACAAAAGGCTGAATAGCAGGAACAAGGACGTGACCATGTGCGCAGCTGACATGGAAGCCAAGCCCTGAGACCATAGTGCCCATCATACTGGTGCTCAGGATGCATTCCCCACCTCCCCAGGCTTGGAGGGAGCTGGCACATGAAATGGCAGGTCTGGTAACAAGTATTTTTAACAACTCCATCGAGTTGGGGGAGGCACCATCTGACTGGAGAATAGCGAATGTGATGCCTATATTTAAAAGCGGGGGGAGGAAGGGAAAGAAAGTCAGGCAGGCAGGAATAGGACTGTAAGCCTGACCTCGATTGCATGCCATTCCAGAACAGATTTGGAAGGCAAAAGAGGAAAATGAATCATGGCTTTGCCAAAGGTAGGTCACACCAGGCTAACCTGGCACCAGAGACCTGGAAACGTGTAGGGCTGCTCTTTGTAGTAAAGCTTTTGCTATGGGAAAGTGTTAATGAAGCAGAGAAGGGGGGAAGGAGAAGAGGAGCTCTGTGAGGCCGGTAGGGAATGAGCCGTATTGGGATGGGGCTGGATGGTGTTGAGCAGACGTAGGCTGGTGGCGACTGGTGGGGCTCCTTGGGA